GAGGTCTCGAAATGACCCCAGGAGGCCGACCGCTGCAACACACATTTCCGCTTTGTTCTTGAAGACGTTGAAGGTCTCTGGAGGGTTGTGGAGGCCTCCAAAGGTCAATCGATCGATCCTGGATTTCGTCCTCCTTCTTTTGTTTTTCCACATCCTTCCGACACCCTCGATGCCATGACCTTTTTCAGCGCGGACCTCGAGGGTCTCGACCCCTTCCTCGGGACCAGTCCCTCGTCCTTCTTTGTGAGTCTTGGACGCCCCCGGGGCTCCCGTGAGGGCCTCCCGGAGTCCGATCAAACATCGAATGCTCCCCGTCGGGATCTCCCGCCACGCGAGGGCGTCTGGGTCCGAGGGTCGACCACCGGCCCCTGGGCCAGTCCCAGGGGCCAGCAACATATGTACACGTACGCGGTTAGCTTCCCCTGGAGTGCGTGTCAACGCGGACGTTCGTGCAGGCAAGACCGCGGAGGGCGTTGCGTAATGGAGGGGTCATAAATGGGGGGGTGTCGCGGGTGGTCCGAAAAGGTACCCAAACGGTGCCTAAACGAGCCCCCTGGGGCTCCAGAGGAGCCCAAAAGGGGCACGAAAGGGGACCGTTTCTGACCCCCCCTATTTGTGACCCCCCCACGAAGCCACGCCCAAGGGGCCCGCTCCGGCCAGACTCTCGAGGCCGGGGCGGCGGGAGGCCTCCCGTGGGGCCCGAGGGGGCCAGGCGCGCCTCGAGGCCGTGGCCCTCGGGCCTCGAGCCTCGAAGTTCGAGCCCCGTCGCCTCGTCCTCTCGAGGCCCTCGGGCCTCGATCCTCGATGATGGGCTTGTTTTCCACCACCACCACCATAAGTTGGAGGGGGAGGGGGTCCTCCTCCTCCTCCTCCTCCTCCTCCTCCTCCTCCTCCTCCTCCTCCTCCTCCTCCTCCTCCCCCCATCCAACTCATGGTGGTGGTGGTGGAAAACAGGCCCATCACTCGAAGCTCGAGCCTCGCCGCCGCAGGCTGCCGCGGCTGGCGCTGGCGGTCGCCGCGGCCACGCTGGCCGGGCAGCCCACCCCCGCGGGCGGCACCATCCGCATGCCAGAGGAGGGGGGGGGGGCCGCCCGCGCCGGCGATCTCTCGGAGAGGCCTCGCGGGCGCCCTCGGGGCGATCGTGAGGGCCGCCGTGGGCCGTCGGCAGGCCGAAGAAGGAGCAGGCCCCAACTCAGGAGGGAAGGAAACACACAGACACAATGAATCGTCGATCCCCCAGAAAATATGGGGAAAAATATGGGGAGTGGGGGGGAAGACAAAAACCCTGAATATATGTATATATATATGGAAAAGTATGGGGAATCCTTTTATTTGTGTGTATTTGTTTGTGTGTCCCAGGGCCCCTTCACCAACATCATGCCAAGGCCAGCGGGAAGTCCGTGAGGGTGGCCTCTTGGGCCCCTGGCCTGCCCCCATCGGCTCAGGCCTCCGAAGGGGGGCGGGGGCGCCGACGGGGGATCGACCCTCCGGCCCCGCCTGCTCGGGCGCCCCCACGTGTGGGAGGCGCCTCCAATCCGGGGCGGCCCAGGATGGGGCCCCGTCTTCGGCGAGTCGGGGGCGGAAAAGAGGGGGGCGACGCCTAGGATCGGGCGCGCCGGATCGGGCGGCGCCGTCGCCCCGTTCTGGGGGGGCGCTGTCTCCCCGATCCGTGGGCTCCTCTCGCTTCGCGGGGTGCGCGTCTGGACCGTGTGGGGCACGTGAGTTTGGGCCACTCCTGGGAGCCTGTTGTCGGGGGCGGAAAAGAGGGGGGTGATGATAAAGGGGTGGATGTCATGGCGGGGGCCGTGATATTTCCCCAGATCTCATGGCGCCTCTCCTTATCTCATCACGTCCCTGGCCCCCCCCGCTGGGCCGCGCACATGCCGCCGGTCATGATTTGCACCCCCCCCCCCTCTTGGACACCCCCCTCTGGGCCGCGCCCGAGCGAGGGGAGGCCGGGCGGGAGGCTGGCGGAAGTGGCATGGCGGCGTGCCCGCTGGCGGAAGGCCGGCGGAGGGCCCGAGGGGGGGGGGGGGCCGGCGGAAGCAGGGCGGAGCCGTCGGCACTGGAGGGCACCAGGGGGCTCCGCAGGGCGGCCTCCTCTGGGGGCGGGGGCGGGGCGGCAGCGCGGAGGCCGCGCCCGAGGGGCCAGGGCCCACGAGGGGCGAGCCAGGATCCACAGGGCGGGGTGGCCCGCGGGGAGGTGCTGGGGCGCAGAGGTGCCCGGGCCCCGCGCGGAGGCCGGAGGTCTGGGGCGGCCTTCGGGGGCCCGAGAGCGGGGTGCGGGCGCAGAGGAAGCAGGAGGAGAAGAAGCACACACACACAGACACAATGAATCCCCAACTCCCCCAGAAAAGATGGGAAAATATGGGAAGTGGGCGGGAAGACAGAAGCCCAGAAAATATTTGAAAATATGGGGGATATTTTTATTTGTGTGTATTTATGTGTGTGTCCTTGGGCCCTTTCAAAGAAGGTCGTCAGGGCCTGGGGCCCTGGCCATTGTTGCCCCGGCCCCGCTGCACGCGAGGGGACGCGGTGGCAGGCGCGATTCCTTGGAGGACAGGGCGCAGGGCCAGTTGTGGGCTCGGCGCACCGAGGAGACTTGTTCGGGTTGCACTCCGTCCCATGAGAACGGGGGGTCCTCATCCCCTCCTCCTCGTCCTTGGCCCTTCTCCTCGTCCTTCCCCCTCGCCCTCCCCCCTCCTCGTCCTTCCCCCCTCCTCCCCCCCCCTCCTTGTCCCCCTCCTCGTCCTTTCCCCCCTTCTCCTCCTCCAGTCTTTCTCCCGATAGATAATTCCGTCCTGTCGCACCCCGAGGCCTGTCGAAAGGGCGAGCCATGCGTTTCGCCTGAGACTTCCGCACCATTTATGACCCTGATGCTTAAACATTGTCAACAGTTTCACCGATAGAGGGCGGGTGGTTTTCAATTTGTGGCTCTCGCCTTAGCGCCGCACACATTCGTTTTTAACATTTGCAAGAGCTTCACGGCTTGAGGGCGGGCGGTTTTCAAAATGTGGTTCTCGTCGTAGCGCCGCGCACATTCGTTTTAAACATTCGGAGGAGCTTCGCGGATTGAGGTCGTGCCCTTTTCAGAATGTGGCACTCGCCTCGGCGCCGCGCACATGCATTCGTTTAAACACTTGCACGAGCTTCATGGTTTGAGCGCGTGTGTTCTTCAAAACGTGGCTCTCGCCTAAGGGCCGTGCACATTCGTTTGCACAAATTCTGTTAACCTCACGGATCGTGGGCGGCTGGTTTTCAACATGTGGCTCTCGCCTCAGCGCCGCGCGCATCTGTTCGAAACAGTTGCAAGGGTTCTGCGGATTTAGGGCGGGTGGTTTTAAACATGTGATGCTCGCCCCAGTGCCATGCACATTTTTTAAACAGCACATTAGATTGTGAGAGTTTCGCTGTTTGAGGAAGGGTGATGTTCAACATGTGGCTCTCGCGTTAGCGCCACGCACATTCGTTACAGACATTTGCAATACTTCCATTGGTTCTCATGGCTAACGTGCTATACATGGCGTCTTGGAGCGATTCAGAATTGTCAGGGCGCGGCAGTTACGTTGATTCGCGGTCCCAGGAATGGTGTTCTGGCACGACTCAGAATCGCCAAGAAGTACCAGTCAGATGAATTTGTGACGCTGAAGTCCTGAGAATGGTATTTTGGCACGCTTCAAGGTGTTCATACGGTTGTCCACCAACGGGCCAATTCCTTCAGTGGTAATGACCCTATGTAGAGGCCTATGAAGAGGGATCTTGGAGGGAGGGTGTATTTCAACATCGTTCATGAGTCTTGGGTTTGCACTGGTCCTCCTCCTCCTCCTCCTCCTCATCGTCCCCCTCCTTCTCTTCCTTCTCCCCTCCTCTCCGACTCTTTTTCAACGCTTGCGTCTTTGGTTCTCCAGAGGCTCTTGGAGGCGTCCAGAGATCTTTCAGGACTGGAGACCTCCACCAGAGATTTCCGAGGGCGTCCTCATTCTCCCTCCCCGCCTCTACGACACGCGTCCGCGGATAGAGAAAAGTCAGTGCCATGGAACGGCATGGGTGGGAGGGGCCCGATGTCAGATGTGGCGCGACCGCACCTAGCTTGCCTTCTCCTCTTTCTCCTTCTACTTCTCCTTCTCCTGCCCCTCCTGCTGCTCCTTCTCCTATTTAGCACGAGCTTCCAAGAATGGGCTCCATCGAGATGCGCAGCGCGAAGGGAGGTTTCCTCGGTGGGGCCCGTAGCCGCTGTGGCTCGAGGCATCGCTGACCCAGGTGGCGGAGGTCGCGGGCACCTCGACGGGACCCGCTGTGCAGGAGAGGCGATGCAGTGGAGACCCATGCCAAGAAACACCCTGCTCGCCTCTAGGGTGCCCTGGGTTTCTTGGGTTTCGATGGTTTTGCGATTGGAAGCGTGACGTTCCCATACCAAAAAAATCAGCGGATGTCGTAGGGTTTCAGGGCTGGGCTTCTTGTGAGAGGCTTCTTGTGGTCGGGCCCCGACTGTGGTGCAGTCAACAGCGGCACTAAGGAGTAGCGCGCTTTTTTACCCTCTCCCTCTGCTCCTCCACGGCCGCCCTGCCTTCCCGCGCGTTCCCTCTCCTGCATCCGGACAGTTCGTTCGTCGTGTGTCCCCGACTACTGCGAGCGCCCGTGTGGATTGCCTCTGCATTGCTGCGACGTTTGCTTTTCGGTTGTTTTTTCTTTCATATCCTCCGGGGGGGGGGGCAGGATGATTTGCTGATCAAGATGGCGATCGCGCAGCTGAGGATGACGATGATAGCGATGGTGCTGAAGATGTTGGCGATGCATACGGCGAGGGTGATGATAATGCGGATGAGGATGATGATGAATACAATGTTGGCGGTAATGGTGGTAGGTAGTGGTGATGGTGGTGGTGGTGATGGTGGTGGTGGTGATGATGATGCTGATGATGGTGATGATGATGACGATGATGATGATCCTAATGATGATGATGATCATGATGAGTGCGAGGCGCGTGAAGGTGCATATTTGCCGCTCTTACTTGAACGAACGCCCCATTGCGAGAACGCCCCCCTTGGGTACATACAGACAGTTCGAACCCACGATCCGTAAACTCTCAGGCCCAGAGTCGATCAAAGTGCTCTCGGCGTCCCGAGGTAGACAGAGCTGCCCTCTGGACATCATCGTTGGGCTTTTCAACGCTGTTGCTGCACTGATTCCTTTCCCGTGCAATGCTGTGATGGGTTCACTGCAGGTTATTTTCAGACGGTGGCGACGTCGCGATCTGTGCATCAGTGTGCTGTGTTTTCTGCGAGTGCATCAGTTTGCAGCAGAACCGACATTGGCCGTTGTTACAATGCCAGGGCAGCGCGACGTACAGATGATCATGCCACGTTCTCCTTCCGCAGACGATGAAATCGACTTGGAGAGTTCGATGATGCTCCCAGAGAATGGTCCTCGTGCGCATGCTGGTTGGTTGAACCGTATGCTTTTGTTTCCTGCCCAGAAGTTCGCATTCTGTTGGGTTGATAAGAACGCGGGCACGCAATTCAACAGGTTGTTCAATCACTTGAATGGAATCAACCCTGGGATCCTTCGCCAAAAGGAGCCATGGTGGAAGTCCAGCATCCTGAGCAACCCTGGAATGCGCGCGAGATTTCACTCCATTGTCCGGTCGTGCTCCTGCACGTATCCGCCACCATGCTTACCACCAGCCACGTCGCATCGAACTTTTGGGACCTCTCGGGAGCCTCTTAGGGTCATTCTCGGGGGCCTCTTGGAGGATTCCCTGAATGTTTGGGCCATCTGGAGGCCTTTTTCGTGTCCAATTGGGCCACGTGGGCCTCCCGAAGGCCTCTTATGGGGTCTCCTGGGGGCCTCTTGGATGCCTCCCGGGGCCGTCCTGCGGGGCCCTCGGGCCTTGCCGGCAGGTAGTCCCCAGAAGGCTCCGGTTCATGGACCTCCCGCGACCTCTGGAAGCCCGGGAGGGCAAGAGAATCCTTTTGCAGACCCTGCATCGCACATCTGCATCGTCACGGGAGGCTTACCTGGCATCAGGGGCGTTGAAAACGCCCCCACCCGGGTTTACGAGGCGCTGTGCGCTGAGCCTCCTGTGGGCTGGCAGGGTAGACCCTGCATGTCGCACGTGTCGCGCGGGGCGTCCTGTCGGCACTCTGGCCTCTGGGAGCTCCCAGGAGGTTTACGGACCACGCACTTGTGACCCAGGGTAGGGGCGTTTTTGCATCCCTCAATTGAAGACCTTACATGGCACATCTGCACCGTCACGGGAGGCTTACGTAGTACAGCGCACGCGGGGACCATGAGGGAGAGCATCCGTGAGGCCACACGGGAGAGCATACGGGGCACTGTACTTATTGCAAACAGCGCCATCCTTGTTGACGCGATCCTTACTGCATGTCCTGTCAAGTTCATGAGAAATTCTTCACACTTCGCGTATCCCCACCAGTCTTTGCTTGCTTGTCGCTGTATAATTAGGCTCGCGCGTAGCCCGCCCGACCTCTTCGGACGCCGCCTGCGCTTCCGCTTGCGGCCGCGACCAAAAAAAGTATCCCCACCAGCCCCTGATGGCGTTCAGGTGGTCTGGAATTCATGCAAGGATTCACACAGAGACTGGTGCTGCGTCGCATTCGCTGTGGTCAGGTGCCCCCTGGTCGGCTCCTACTGACACTGGAGGTTCCAGCGGGTCTCTCGCTACACTGCCTACCTTACGGTACCTGGACCTCGGGATCGGCAGGTGTGGCTCTGTACGCTCGACGGCTGGCGTTCTCCGGCGTGGACTCCGCTTGCGGCAAGTGTTACCGGTTTTACTGCCGTTTGCAGTCTTGTTTTGGGGACGTTCCCTCGCGGCTGGGGTTGCCGCCAATACCGCTGTCGGATGGTGCTCCGTCAGCTTCGTTCTCACGCAAAGTATTATACTGGGAGTGGGCGGCGAGGTGCCCACCGGCTGCCTGAGGCCGGCGCCCCCCCCAGCTGATGGCCGAAAGGGTTCAGTGGGGTTCCGATGCTCGTGTCTCTTTTCTTCTCCCCTCCTCTCCTTCCGCGTGTCCCTTCCTCCCCTCTTGCATCCTAATGCTGCGGCGGTTAGCTGCCACACCGGGGTGCCTACCGTGCCTTGCGTGCACTTCCCCTACTCTCCTTTGTTTCAGTGGGTTTATCCCGCGCGGCGGGGGTTGCCGCCAATACTGCTGTCTGATGGTGCTCTGACAGCCCACACTCGGAATGGGCGGAAAGGTGGCCCCTGGCCTGCTCCTGGCTGGTGTCGGTCTCCACTGGCGACCGAAGGGTTCAGTGGGGTCTCGCTACGAATTCCATGCATGGATCACATTGGGAATGGGCGGTCAGGTGGCCCCTGGTTTGCTCCTGGCTGGTGTCAGCCTCCACTGGTGACCGAAGGGTTCAGTGGGGTCTCGCACGCTGCCGGCCTCCACGGTGCCAGGACTTCGGCATGTGTGGTTCGGTGCGCCCGTCTGCTTCTCCTGCAAGGACCTCGCTGTCGACATGTGCCACTGCTGTACAAGCAAAAAGTACTGCTGTTTGCAGTCCTACCTGTGACGAGGTTGCCCGTCTTCACTCTCGCGCTGACACGATGCAGTTGTGTCGCCTACGGCACGGACGTCGTCCGGGTGTGCCCGTCGGTCCTGCTCGTCTCTGACGGTGCCTTGTGCCGACCCACACCGAATGATTGAATTCTGTGTGTTTATGGTCGCGCCGCCGCGCCATTTTGGCTGCGCTTCCTTGCTGGTCGCCACCGGGATCTCCACGCCACCGGGTTGGGAGTTTCATTTCTGGCTCTTCTGAGTGGCTGCCCGCGCGCTTCGCTTGCCTCTCTTTCCTTGCTGCCTAGTCGCGGCCCGACTAGTGTTCGGACGGCTTTCGACCTGCTTCGCGAGCCCGCAGACCAAACATTATCCCCACCAACCCATTCAGAAACCCATGCCCACGAGAGCTGACGAGAAAACGAAACGAAAAGACACACAGTGGAACAAAGAGGGCAACCAGGATGAACAGGGAAACCCCTTGGAGCAAGAGGGTGGCCTTGGAGGGCCTCTTCTGGCCATCCCTGGGGCCCGCGGGGGGGCCAAGGGAGACGGATAAGGAGGAGCAGGAGGAAGAGGATGAGGATGAGGAGGATGCAATCTGCCTCCTGGGGACTTCGTGGGAAGCTCTTGGGGCGCTCTTGGGCGCTCTTGGGGCCGCCTTGGAACTGTATTGGGGCTCTCTTGGAGCTCTCTTGGATCCCTTCTTGGGAGCCCTGGAGGGTCTCTTGAGGCCATCCTGGAGGCCACAGATCAAGGACGGGGGGTCTCCGCTTTGCGTCCCCCCTTCTGAGGCACTCGAACTCGCCTTGGGGGCCCTCTTTGGGGCCCTCGTGGGGCGCTGTTGGGGTGTTCGTGGGCGCTCCTGGCGGGCCTCTTGGGCCCCTCTTGCGCCTCTCTCGGGCCATCATTGGGCCATCTTGAAGCCTCAGAAGCGCATCGGAAGCGAAAAGGCGAGAAGGTATCAATTATTAATTAATTTGCCTCTTGGTGATTGGAAAGGTTTTGGTCTCCTGGGGGGTCCAGAGGGGGCTGAGAGCACTGTGGGCGGTCTTGGAACAGTCTTTGGGGCCTTGTGGAGCATACTGGAAATCATCTTGAGAAATCTTCGGCTATCTTGGGCCATCCTGGAGGCCATCTTGGATCATCGGAGGCCCTCTTGGTGCCATTTTGAGCCATCATGGGCGCTCACCCCCCTGGGCCCCTCCCCAACATATCTCAGAGATGGGAGGGGGAGGGGGACTCTCCCCGCAGGGAAGATAGTTTTGGAAGAGGACGGAACGACATCCTTGGACCACCTACGCCCAGAGGGTTGGTGATATACATCGCCATCCTTGCCGACGCGATCCTTATTGCATATTATTGTATCGCTCGCGAAACGTTGTATGAGCTTGTTCGTTTAAGATCACACAGTCGCGAACAATACGTGCATGGACAGCATAAGCAAGTGTTTGCGCCAGGTCATTGTCGGTTCGGATGCAAGCAGTGGTGTTTGCCTAGATCGTCACAGTGTGTGTGTGTGTGCATTGACGCCTGTGTGTCAGAATTTCGGCGTGAAGAAATGTCGTACAATATGGGTTACCGTTGTGTCGTAAGGGCATGGTGGAACAAACGCAAACAAGAACACGCGTACCCACACACCCACACGCGCACCGACACGCGCGCACACACTCCCCCCCACACACACATACACACACGCTCGCGCACGCACGCACGCACGCACACACACTCACACACGCACGCCCCACACACCACACAACACACAACACACACACAACACACACACCACGCACACACGCACACGCACACTCACACGCACACTCACACGCACGCGCACGCACACGCACACGCACACGCACACGCACACGCACACGCATACGCACACGCACACGCACATGCGCACGCACACGCACACGCACACGCACACGCACACGCGCACGCGCACGCACACGCACACGCACGCACGCACACGCACACGCGCATGCGCACGCACACGCACACGCACACGCACACGCACACGCACACGCACACGCACACGCACACGCACACGCACACGCACACGCACACGCACACGCACACGCACACGCGCCCGCGCCCGCGCCCGCGCACGCGCACGCGCACGCGCACGCGTACGCGCACGGTCACGCGCACGCGCACGCGCACGCGCACACGCGCACGCACACGCACACGCACATGCACACGCACACGCACACGCACGCGATACGCACACGCACACGGACACGCACGCGCACTACACACACCGCACAAACGCCACACACAAACCACACACACAGAGCACGCACACACCACACAAACCACGCACACAAACTACACAAACCACACACACCACACACCACATAAGCCACACACCACACACACCACACAACACACAAATCGCACAACCTACTAACCACACAACGCACACGCCGCAACACACAAACCATACACCACACAAACCACACAACGCACACAAACCACGCAACACACAAACCACACACCACACACACCACACACCACACACATCGCACAACCCACAGACCACACAACACACAAACCACAACACACACACACACACCACACAGCACACAAACCACACAACACACAAACCACTCAAACCACATACACACACCACACAACACACAAACCACATACCGCACAAACCACAAAACACACAACGCACACAACACACAAACCACGCAACACACAAACCACGCAACACACAAACCACATAACACACGCACAACGCAAACCACACAAACCACTCCAACTACACAACACACAAACTACACAATACACAGGCCACAACACACAAACCACACAACACACAAACCACGCAGCACCCAAACCACGCAGCACACAAACCACATAACACACACCACACAATACACAAACCACATAACATACAAACCACAACACACACCACATAACATACAAACCAAGCAACACACACCACACAACACACAAACCACGCAGCACACAAACCACGCAACACACAAACCACATAACACACACGCACACCAGACAACACACACACACCACACAGACCACACAAACCACGCAACACACAAACCACACACCACACAACACACAACGCACAACAGACAACACACGACACACAAGACACAAGACACAACACACAACACACAACACACAAACCACACAATACACAAACCACGCAACACACATCACACACAACACACAGCACACAACACACACCGCACGCCACACAGCACACAAACCACGCCACACAACCCACAACAGACAACACACATCACACAACACACAACATACAACACACAACACAGAAACCGCACAACACACAAACCACGCAACACACTACACACAACACACAGCACACAACACACACCGCACACGACACATCACACAACACACAACACAGAAAACACAACACACATCACACAACACACAACACATAACAGACAACACACAACACACACCACACATCGGACAACACACAGCACAGCATACACACGTACACATACACACACACACCCTCACACGCACGCGCGCGCACGCGCACGTTCGCGCACGCGCACGAACGCACACATTTTCCGTCAAGGCGCGGCAGAGGCGATCCGCTCGCGCGCCGAGCAGCCTGGGCTATGGCGTTGTTGATTGCCCCGCGTGCAAGGGGGGAATGAGCGGCCGCAGGGAGCGAGGGAGGGGTGGGAGCGCTCTCCTGCGAGGGCGCCGCGGGAGGCGTGAGGGGTGGCCAGGCTGCGGGGGCAGACCCTGGCAGCGGCGCGGGGCGGCGTCGCGGGCGCGCCCAGGGGAGGGGCCAGCAGCCGCAGTGCGGGCAGGGCCCAGCAAGTGGGAGGGGCAGGAGCGGCGAGCGGCTGGCAGACCCGAGGCGCCCGAACGGGGGCTGCGGGGAGGCGGTAGCAGGGGCGAGCGGCGGCGGGCTGGCCAGGCCAGCGCAGTGCAGCGGGCGTTGAGGCAACCGCGGGGTGGCGAACCGACGCGGCCAGGCGCGGCGGGCGCCGGGGAGGCTGAGCGCTTGAAGGCAGGCAGGCGGCGCGGGCCCAGGGGTGGAAGGGCAGGGGGAGGGCGGAGAAGCAGAAGCCTGCCCAGGGCCGGCGCACGCATCGCAGCCAGGGACAGGGCGGCGCCCAATGCAAGTGGAACGTGGGCGCGGGCTCCAAACAGGCGGGAGGGCAAAAGTGGAAGGAGAACCGCAACGGCGACGGTGCCCCCCAAGTGTGTGCAAAGCGAGCTACCGGCAGGGACAGCGGCCGGACTGCAGAGCCGAGGGACGGGTGGGCAGCGAGCGCTCCACACCGACCGAAGCGAGGTCCTGGGCGGCTGCGCTTGGCGACGACCGGCAGCGGGCGGGGCGGGCACGACACCGAGAGGGCAGTCGCGCCAGCGCTGTGGGGAGTGGCCCGCAGCTGGTGCCAAAACGGCCTACGGGCAAGGACGCTTCAGACACGCGAGGCGCAGCACCTGGGCGGGTTGCTGCGCTAATGCGCAGGGGGGCGCAATTCCAGCTGGGAGGTGGTTGGGGAGGCGTTTGCAGGACCGACAGGTATTGGCCAGCCGGCGGCGGGCAGGCGAAGGCGCTCCGCTTGGCGGGGCGTGCCAGGGGCAGGTAGGGGCGCACCGCCTGAAGTAAACGGCCCGCCCGCTGGAAAACACTTCGTTGGTGCGCAGACAGGTTGAACAAGCAGGGGCAGGCCAGCAATAGCCAGGCGCATCACCTGGGGTGGATGGCGCGTTGGGGGCTTGGACCCGACGTGCCACCTGGGGTGGGAGGCGCGCCAGGGGAAACGCATCTAACTGCTGCACAGACAGGTTGAAAACCTGAGGCGAACCCAAGTCACCCAGGCGCACCAACCGGGGTGGATAGCGCGAATGGGGCCAGGCGGCAGGCGCACCACCTAGGGTGGGGGTGCGCCAGGAGAAAGCACTTCTCTGGTGCGCAGACAGGTGGGGCAAAAAAACACCCCCCGAAAGGGGAGTGCGCCTGGCGAAGCGCACCCCCTGGGGTGGGAGGCCCGCCGGTAGGAAGCAGCTAACTGGTGCGCAGACAGGTGAAAAAAAAGTGCTTGCACCTTGTGGGGTGGAAGGCACCATGCCGTCGTCACAAGTGCACATTTGTGTGTGCGAGTGTGTGCGCAAGCACGCACACACACAAGCACGCACTCACGCACGCACGCACGCAAGCACGCACGCACACACACACACACACCGTATACACACCACACACAGACACATACACACACGCACGCACGCACGCACACACACACATACCATACATAAGCAACACACAAACAACACACAAACAGCAAATACACAAATAACGCACACACGCACACGCACACACAAGCACACACACACACCCACGCACGCACGCACGCACGCACAGTCAACAGATCAACCAAACAAACGAACAGTCAAACACAAACAAACAAGCATACACACAACCAAACAACCAAAACAACAACACACATACGCACACCCGCGCGCGCAGACAAAAACACACACACACACCAGTCGCGTAAAAGTGCGGTGGCGGATCAATTCATCGGCAGACGTGTCTAAAGAAAACGGCTGGCGATTTGGGATGTTCCTTCGCGATCCCGCAGAGCGTTTCTTGTCGTCCTGGTTATCGAAGTGTGTGCTCTGGGAGGATGATGGGCGAATGTGCCTTGGCAGGCGCGTGCCATCCAGCAATCGATCCTCTTGGGTGCCAGCGTTTGAGGAGGTTGTGGACTGGATGCTTCCTGAATACATGATGGCAACGGGCCACCTTGGCGTCTTCAACGCGCACTATGACCCCCAGCACGTGTTCTGCGGCGGGAAACCGCTAGACGAGTACGACTTCGTCGGGGTCTGCTGCCGCGGCATGGCCAGCCAGGTGAGATCGATGCTGGAAGGTGCTGCAAGTTTGCCCAAGGATCACCCTATCTGGTCGATGCTGCCGCAGCTGTTTCCTGCTCCTGGGCCCGGTTCTGGAATCCGCGGGCCTATTCCTGGGCCTGCATCTGAGTCTGCAATGGGGCCTGATCATCTGCGCCATCACACCGGTGCTGAAGGCTTGATGGGCGAGTTTTACAGGGACCCGGCCACTTTTGATAAGGTCGTCACAGCTTACGCAGAGGATTATAGGAGGTTCCTCTCCCGCGCTCCACATTTAGCCATACATTCAAGCTGAAACTTTCAACGCGTGCGTTGTGTCAAAACTAATGTATAGAAATTGTTTGAATAAATGCAACCGCAGTCGATTAGTCGGACTCCACGCCTGTTGTCCGCAGAGCATTTGCCGCGTTTCGCTGGCATGTTTCAGCCGAGTCTCAAACGCCGCAATTGTCTGCATGCCCGGACAGGGGCCTTTGAGCGACAGTCCTACGAAACGAGAGATGGTCTTCATGGGGCAACTCGCGAGATGTCCTCGCTGAAGATCCCGTGCGGCGCTCCTTTGTCGTGCCGGCGGGATCTGCTCGCGGACGCCCATCAGGGCCACGCCCGCGAGGGCGCCCAAGACAGTTTTTGGGTAGCATGGTTATGCGCAATTGTCTGTCCGTAGCGGGTTTTCGGAAGGCCTTGTCTGCATTCTTCTGTCGGGACGACAGGGCAGCGGCTTCGTGGGACTCAGCAGTGGATAAGTGGAGTTCGTGCTTTTTCGGCACAGTGTTTCGCATGTTTCACTCTGCTCGCGCGCCGTCAGGCGCAAAGCTTGCGTTCGCTCGTGTCCTTCCCGCGACAGTACTTCTGCGCAACGTGCTGAAAACAGGTTGGTGGGCCTGGCCAGGTCACCCAGGTTTCCTACAGTTGGTGCGAAGATCGTCGCGCTTCGCGTTTCGTGGTGTGGGCCGGAAAGTCGCCCATCTCCAGGCGGCCGCGCGAGAGCGCGTGGACAATGGCGCTTCGCGCAGTGCGGAGCCTAAACTTGGGCGACTCACAGGACAGTGTTGCAGAGCCCCTTCGCGACAGTTGGACCCACTCCTGCTTGTTCACGTTAGTCTTGAGAAAGCCTCTGGCGTTTGACCTGTTGGTGGCTGAACTGCGTACCGGGTGACGAGCCCCCTGAGCGTTTCTTCGACAGATCGTTGCTGCGTGCCTGTGTGGGATACCACTGATCGTGGCGCCAGCGGGGTATACACATTGTGCGTTTGCCTCGCAGCACCTTCCTTCCGCTGTTGGTGCACTGGCGGTGCCTCCTCTTCCTCTTCCTCCTCCTCCTCCTCCTCCTTCATTCTTTTTCTTGGTAAATAACTTGTCCCTGTCGCGCCCCGAGGCCAATTTTTAGTGCGGTCCGGGCTTTTCGCCTCAGACTTCCTCACTGCTGACGACCCTGAAGCTGAAACGTTGAACATTTTCACATATGGAGGGCGGGTCGTTTTCAAAATGTGGCTCTCGCATTCGCGCTGCGCACATTCGTGTGCAAAATGGTACATCCTTCACGGATTGAGGGCGGGTCGTTTTCAAATTGTGGCTCTCGCTTTAGTGCCGCCAACATTCGTTTGTAAGACTTGCAAGAGTTTCACGGATTGAGGGCGGGTCGTTTGCAATTTGTCGCTCTCGCCTTGGCCCCGCGCGCTTTCGTTTGTAACATTGATGGCAGTTTCACATATTGAGGGCGGTTCCTTTTCAAAATGTGGCAGTCGCCTTAGCGCCGCGCAGATTCGTCTGTAAAAACAGCAGAAGAGTTCCACGGGTTCCCATGGTTGTCGTACCAGAAGTGGTGTTTTCGAAGGATTCAGGATTATGAGGGTGCAGCAGTTGCGTTGGCTCGCGGTGTTGAAGTCCCAGGAGTGATAGGCACAATTCAAGATCGTCAATACGCAACAGTCAGGTTGATCCGTGGCGTTGGAATCCCGATAACAATGTTTTGGCATGCTTCAGGGTCTTCAAACGTGTGTCTTCCAACGAGGCAGTTCCCTGTGGAAGTGAAGCGTTGCAGGGGCCTGTGAAGAGGGAGCTTGGAAGGATGGTTCATTCCAACATCGTTGGTGACTCTTGGGTTTTCACTGGTCCTCCTCCTCCTCCTCTTCCTTTTCCTCCTCCTTCCGCTCCTCCTCCTCCTCTTACTCCTCCTCCACTGGCCATATGGGCGACTCGTTCATTTTAGGCCCCATGCCTTGCTTGGACCACGCGGGTGCAGTTTGGGTTGCGCTTTTCTTCCAGCAGGTGATCATACTTGGTGTTCGCAGTCGTGCGTGTCAGATATTTCCAGTGACGAACTTGCCCTTGCCATCATGCCAGACCTCCGCCCGCCTCGTATCCTGGCTGTAATGAGGGAGCCAGCTTTCAGCGCTCATCACACAAAAACGGTCGATCGACTTACCCGAGTGGCCGCCTCAGAAGATGTAAGTTTTCTCATCGTGCGGGACGCGAGACTTCGGCCTTTGTTGCAACGTGGGGGAACCCGTGCTGGCTTCTCTGTAACTTGCAGATATGAGAGCGCCGTCGGCAGCAAGCACCGCGTGCCCCTGGTTGTGCTGAGCTGTATCTCTTGGGGGGGACCCTGGAAAGCAGGTTTGGGACAGAATTGGGGGTGGGACGCAGTAGTCTTCCCGTCGCGCAGTGCGAACCTGTGTATATACACGTATGCGCTCGCCCTCGCCTTTCGGGAAATCCATGCTGTATACAAATTGAGATGACCGCCGACATAAATTACACAGACGTCAGCCGCTAGAACGCAAAAATGGGCGTGCGCACACTGATAATGAAGTGCGGTATTTTTGGCGGATGTCGGCGCCCCCGCGGTTCCTTATCCACATCCATGAACGTTTGTGATCAAACCTCCTTTCTTTTATCGTCACCTGTCCGCGGGTGTCACCCAAAGCGCATCGGTAGGATGTACCAGTCGTCGTGCAGCGCGAGCCTGTATATGTGTTAGTTCTTGTCATTCGGGGGGCCCCTGCTATATGCCGCTTCATACGGTTCTAGGTCTGCCAGGGTGAGTTGCCCATATTCCCCAATCAGTGCTTGCATTGAAGGGGTCCTGCGGGTACTGAAAGATTTGGCGAAAGGCCAGGGCCGATTTCGGTAGCAAGCTGGGTTCCTGGATTCCCGGTTCTAGGTTTCCGGGTTCCCGGTTGCTGCTTCTAGACTGGTTTCGGGATCCCACGATTGAGGTCACAATCGATTTCATGATCGATCTCACTATCCATCTCACTCAGTCGATCTCGCCATTGATTCTCCCTTCTAAAAAAGATATAGACTCAACCCCCCCTGGCGTTATCACTCCCTCCGCGTCCTATGTAAATCACATGATTCTGACCATGTCCATCCTAAACATGAAATCACAATGTCCCAGGCCAACCAGGTTTCCCCCCCTAAGGTTCCCTTGTAAAGAGCACTATGCGGTGACATTTTTTGTTCTAACATCGCACTTTTTCACGAACCCCTTGTAAGTAATACCATTAGGCGCACATGCGCGCGGCCGCCGCGCGCATGTCGAAATCCTTTTAAACACACTGTGATTTCAACAATTGCAAGATCGGATTTCAATAATTCATTGTAAAAATACGACTTTCTCACCCAAAAACTTGGGAAATTCTGCCCGCGCGCTCTTGCAGAATCTTTCAAAACCAATGGTTTTTCAACATTCCTGTCAAATGGGCCTTCACGGGCCACTTTCGCTCGCACGTCGAACTAACTCAACAACCTCCGCGCGCTTGCCAGACGCGTCATCCCTTGTAAATGATACCGTAAGGCGCACATGCGTCGTCGTCGTCGTCGTCGTCGTTGTCTTCGTCGTCGTCGGCGTCGGCGTCGTTGTCGTCGGCGTCGTCGTCGTCGGCGTTGTCGTCGTCGTCGTCGGCGTCGTCGTCGTCGTCGTCGTCGATGTCGTCGTCGTCGTCGTCGTCGTCGTCGTTGTCGTCGTCGAGTCGTTGGAGACGTCGTCGGTGTCGTCGTAGTCGGTGTCGGCGGCGCCGCCGTCGTCGTTGTCGCTGTCGTCGTTGGCGTCGGTGTCGTGGCCAAGTGCCATGTGGTACCTACCGTCACGGTCTTGTCTTAAGAGGTCTTGCGACCAGGTTGCGGGTGGGAGGGTGGGATGTTTGCACGAGCAGTGGAGAGGACAGTTTCAAGACGGTCAAAGTGAATATCACCATAGATCTTACTATCGATTTCACTATCGACATCGCTATCGATAGCGACATGGTGCCTGCCGAATGTTTCAAATCATCCACTGATCGGGTGTTTCTTCTCTCGTGTAATGCTGACTGCTAGAAGAGCAAGTCGTCACGTCAAGGGCGGGCGTAGCATGAAAATGCAGTGCCATCGTTTTTTCGGGTGTCGGGGTCCCGGCGGTCCCTCGTTCACGTCCACGGACTCTTGTGTTCGAACTTCGTTTCTTGTTTTATCACCTGCCCGCGGGTGTCACTCAATGCGCAGAGGTAGGCAGTAGTCTCCCCACAATGCGGATCGAGCCTGTATATATGATCATATATGCTCGTGCTCGTGCTCGTCCTTCGGGGATCCGCTGCTGTATGCAGCTTCAGGCGTCGCTATGCCGCAGCAGGTTGCAGAACTGTTATCTGCTTCAAAACGACGTCGTCACGTCATGCCTCTGCCTTGCCAACGCCGCGGTTCACGGTTTGCTCTTGTATGCTACGCATGCTCGTGCGCGCATACGCTACGCCCACTGAGGGGCCGCTGTGGCAGTTTCTGGACGGCGTGTCGCCAGACGGTTCTGGGGGCCGTCTGGTCCGAGGTGTTCGAGACATCTTCGGCGAGCGACCAAGGTCCAAAGCCAGGCGCTCAGCCCGAATCGCTAACTTACCGAGTCGCTCACTCATCAGACAGTGTGTTCATTGGACCTTTTGGGCCCTCCGATCTTGTGGGTCTTCGTTATCCATGAGACTGGGCTTGAGTAGATGGCGTCGGAGAATCGCGCCGAATCGCAGATGCATCGGCGTTGCGACGCGATCTGGACCTCGATCTTTTAAATCCTGACGTCGCCGATTCAATGTCGATGCATCGGCGATGTGGCGCGAGCCTCCGATCCCATCGGCTCTGGACCCATTCAAGATGCCTCCGCGGCTGCTGCTCCTCTTCCTCTTCCTCCGCTTCCCTGCCAGACTCCAGCGTCAGTTGCGTTTTTCTGCCCCTCAATGCTGGACCCCCGAAAAGTCCTGACCCCTTCCCGTGGACCGGACAGCCATCGAGAGTCGTTCTTTCAGGGCACCCGTGCCCAGAAGCGGTTCCCGAAGGCCGAAAGTGTTGGAAACCTTCGTCTTGGCTTTTGTTTAATTCAGGAGGGGAAAGCCCACACACAGACACAATTCATCGGCGATTCCCAGAAAATATGGGAAACTATGGGAAGTGAGGGGGGAAGACAAAAACCCAGAAAATATAGCAAAATATAGGACATATTTTTATTTGTGTGTATTTATTTGTGTGTCCCAGTTCCCCTTCATTGATGTCGGAGGGATGGATCTGGGGGCCACAGGCGACCTGTGAACCTGCCCCGGGGTGCGTTCTGGCCGGGATTCCGAGGCGACTCCCAGTTGTAGCCACGGAGTCGCCTTGGGAGTCCCCTCGAGCCTCGAACCCACACAGAACCACACAAAGCACACACGACACACACAAAATACACAAAACACAAACCCACCCCCACACCCACACACACACACACACGCTCACACGAAAACACACAAAGCACACACAAAACACACAAATACAAAAAAACAAGCAATGCACACACAAACACACACACACAAAACACACACACACACAACACACACAAACCACACACAACAAAAAACACGTCAAGCACCTCACA